GGGAGAGGAGATTCCCACAGTGCGGTGGGGAAGGCTACAGAGGAGTTTGACGACCTCAGCTTTCCTTAGTTTTAATTTATTGCATCTCGAAACGTAGTGCTCTTGGAAAAATGACGGTTCTTGTTCCATAGGAAGGAGAACTGAAACACTAAGTGTTGGAAGTCATCGCTGAGATCTCTTTTTACATATTTACTGTTTCCTCGAAGTCATGAGACCCCAGAGGGTGCGCTTTTACTTGTCTGTTTATTTTTCTCTATTAACGCTTGACTTGGAAAGGCTGTCGTGCGTGTATTTTGGCAGTGCTGATCCTTCTTCACATTACCACTGTTCTGAGACGGTTGTGTGTACTGAGGTGCCGAGCAGCTTCTAATCCCATGGACAATGATGGAAGTGCAAATCGGTGAAAACGCATCTTGAGTATCTCAAAATAAGGATCTGTGACTGAAAACTAGCGGGTGTACTAGTGAGTATGGGTTCCCGACTCTTTTTTTTCATGGGTACTTTGTATATAAAAAGAAAAAATAATATTTGCCTGCATCCCAGCCATTTTTTCTGTTTTGAGACCGCTGCTTAGAAGTTACTTGGAGACTTTGCAGAAAGCTTCTCCTTGAAAGCAAAGTAGAAGGCACCTTTTAAGGCAGGGAAATGGAGAGCTGCAGTCAAAATTAGAGCTCTACAGTTTCCAGCCATGTAAATATTTGTGATAGTTCAAATATTTCCCTCTTCCCATCTGGGTGAAATCCTAGCTTCAAAGCTTTGGGGGTTTTTTAGCGCTAAACAAGAGACCCAAAAATAGCCTCCTGGCCAAAGCATGTACATGGGCAGTAAGTTCTTGCTCTGCTCTGCTTGTTCCTAAACGCAGAGTTGAACCCGGGTGCTCCCGTGCCAGGGAGGTGCCTGGACACCAGGCTACTGGCTGCTTGGGTAGATGTTTCTCTTTTTTTCTGCTCTGTCAAACTTTTCTTGATGTAACCTTGCTGTAACCGGGTACCACTTTCAGGAAACTTTTCAGTTTTATCAAACAGCTGCTTTGTCAAAAGTTGCCAAGCAGTTCTAATTGCAAACGCAGCCTAAAATGGAGGGAAAAAAAATCTTTTATTAACAAGTAATTTTTTATTTTTTTTTTTTATAATGGTGCAATATTCATCATCAGAGTCCCCATCCCTGGAGGGATTTAAAAGCCGGGCAGCCAAGGTGCTTAGGGCCAGGGTTTAGTGGTGGGATGGCAGGGTTAGGGGAACGGTCGGGCTTTTAGGGCCAGGGTTTAGTGGTGGGACGGCAGGGTTAGGGGAACGGTCGGGCTTTTAGGGCCAGGGTTTAGTGGTGGGATGGCAGGGTTAGGGGGACACTTGGGCTTGGGGATCTGAAAGGACTTTTCCAACCTGAACGATTCTATTCTATTCTATACCAGTTGCAATTCATAAACGTGAATCCCTTCGGTCGCATCTCTTGGATACCCCTGCTTGGCGATGGGCGCCTCTATCCCCATCCTGCGCCGCCATCTAGCTGCAGCCCCGGGGCTCGCTCCTTGCCCTGCTCTCAGCTAGATGAACACCACTGCCCTTCAGCCGAGGGTGAATAAAACTGCGTTTTGGCTCCCATGCCGGTCTGCCCGGAATAAGAGAGGTCCCTTCCCCGGACAGCAAGGGCTCTGCCAGGGTTCACCCCCGCGGCCGGCGGGCCCGGCGCCAT